GATTCTCTGGAAAGAAGTGCCTTGCATGAAGTCATCTCGATAGCAGGGTCCATGCTGCATAAGCAATGACAGCCTGCCGGACGGCTCTCTTCTGGTAGAAGGCTGTTGCTGGCTTTTTCTAATCTCCATCATCTTCTACAGATTTCTCCTCCTCTGCATAAAAACAAAAACAAAAGCAAATTCTTACTATTTATTTTGTTGGCACTAATGCATTTTAAGTATGGTTTTGAATATGTTATTTACATATAGTTTTGTTAGGATGATTATCTTTGGGTCTTCATATCTGATAATCTAGATCTCTGGTTATCTTAGGTTATGCTTCTCTCTCTTTTCTTTTGTGGTAATCCTGCAAGTTGTGGCCAAAAATCATCAAAAAATGTTGTTTTCACACTATATTTTTCCCTTTTTGAATGCTGATTTCCACTGCAATTTCAGGGACAAAAATGATTCACTTTTCTTTGTATTTTAGAAAAATGATAAAATGGTCTGTCTTTACTTTGCCTGCTCAAATGTTCTCATACAAAATTTATCTTGTAGAAAGAGATAGATATTACTGCTATTTACCCTTAGGTAAAATTCAGAATATTTTTCATTATTTTGAGAGATAAGGGAAAGGAATAAAAAGAGTTATGTATATTGGTGGAATTCGAGATCATTATGAGCAATTGTTATCTGTATGTGAAGCCAACTGTCGCCTTCCCAAAGGCAACAGTTAAGCTTGTCTCATTTAACACCAATGAATCTATATTTTATACTATTTTATATGCAGATGTGTATCTGCACATGCACTTTATTTTAGAGTACAATTTTGATAATTTGTTCTTAGCATGCCCTCTTTTCCCAGAGCCATTTTTCTCTCTAGGAGACAGTTTTGCCCATGTAGGGGTCTTTTGAAAATACGAGGAATAACTTAAGGGAACAACTAATGGTGCTGCCTTAGCCAATATTTGACAAAAGGATATTTGACAAAAGGTTATAGAAACCCCACTGAAACAAAGTACCTACAGGTATTTCATTCAAATTGTGACTGAGGATTGCTGTGCCATCGGTTACCTAAGGCAGCTACTCTCCTTATGTCTCTCTCACCTGTTCTTGTACCACAGGGTTTCAAGTATCTGTCTCTTTATTTTGCTCTATTCTTTTCCTACAGATTAGTACCCTCTATTTACACATTTGTCTGCACCAAAATGGCAAGGTCAGTCAAAGTCCACTTGGCCCTTTAGTTTGGTTACATTCTACCCACTGAGTAGAGTTGGGATGGCTCTTAATTTAAAGTCTTGAAGTATTTTGATTGGGTTCTGGCTAGACAACAGATTGCCTGGCCTTGGATCAAGTGTCCACTATTAATCCAATAAATCATGGCAATACTGTGGATAGTGTGTGCACTTGAGACTGTTTCTTACAAGGTTGTGGGCAGGGCAGGCACATTTACAGGCTGAAAGAAATAATAGGAACTACCGCAAGGGAGTAAGTGGTTTTGAGAAGACTGAGTTTTTGACAGACCGCAAATCATCCTTCTAGTTTAATCTATAAATAAAGTTGGTGGCATGCATTAAGAAACATACCTCATCATATCTTTCATCAGGTTTGGCTCTCTGACATTTTGTTTTATTAAAAGCAGTTGTTTAGGATACTCCTTGCCTTCTTCCAGTTCTTTGTTTTTGACACAGAGTCTTGCTTTGTTGCCCAGGCTAGAGTGAGTGTCCTAGTGTCAGCCTAGCTCACAACAACCTCAAACTCCTGGGTTCAAGCGATCCTCCTGCCTCAGCCTCCTGAGTAGCTGAGACTATAGGTACAAGCCACCATGCCTGGCTAATTTTTTGTTTCCGTTTTTAGTTGACGGGCTAATTTTTTCTATTTTTAGTAGAGACGGGGTCTCACTCTTACTCAGGCTGGTCTCGAACTCCTGACCTCAAGCGATCCTCCTGCTTTGGCCTCCCAGACTGCTAGGATTAGAGGCGTGAGCCACCGTGCCCAGTCCTTTCTCTAGTTCTGTTGCCAGTTTTATTTCTGCCAGGCTTCTGGTCCTCACATTTTTCTCTACTATGTAATAGATAACACTGTAGCTCCTTAGGCTGGAATCTGATCTGTTGACTTTCCTGGACCCTTGGCATCTCCCAGCTCTGTTCCCTGTTTCCTCTTCTAGTGTCTCACGGGAGTTATCCAGGGGCAACTCAGGTTTTCAGACCCAAACGTTAGTACTAGATTACTTGGTGACCATTTGGGCCCCTTTGAGGCATTGTGTGAAAGTTTATTTTACTTATGTGAGTCTCCAATTTCTTTCTAAGAAGAGTAGTTGGGAAGTTTTTCCTGGCAAAGAAATTACTTTCCTCTAACTTTGTTGGTTATGTCTAAAAAGCAGGAGATTTATTATTTTCAGGAACAAGAATGAAAACTAAATTAGCACTCAGACAGGTAGGAAGCAAATGGGACCATTATGCTGAGAAATCTAGGTCAGAAAAGTCATCTTGTTGGAAGGGCGTCTTAACCTACAGCACATCTTTTCAGGCTAAATATATTAGTTAATTGCACTTATAAATTCCTCATGTTCCAACTTTTGACATTTGATCTTGGCTACCTTTGAGGATTGTATGAGACTCTTGTTTGAGGTACAGAGAAACCACTTACTTCAAAATTATATTGCAGGCTTCTTGACGGATTCACCATTAGTCTTTCTATCCAATGAGGGATTAATAATGAATCTGAGTCTCTTAATGGCAATATCAAGGTGCTGGTGCTCTGTCTCTCTCGCCCAAGATCTATGCCCTGACACGGATATTGTGTCACATCCTAATGCCAGCACACTGAACAGTTATTCAGTTTGTACAGAAGCGGGAATGAATCACTTCATCAGCCTTCAAAGTCAGTTACAAGCAGAATTGCTCATGGAAGCTTCAGCCTTCATCCATTCTGCATAAAATGGTTTAAATTGGACTTCCAGGGCAAAGTTTGGGGACTGACATAAGCAATGAGGAGGTGTCCTCTACAATCCTCGGGTTGTCTTTTTCTGCCTGTGCTCAAAAACTTGGCTAGAGCCAAGTGAGTCAGGCATGAGCAGGAACACATGGTCAAGTTGCTGTGTCACATCTGGAGAGCCCTGTGACCCCTCTGGGTCTCTATTTCCTCAGTAACATGTGAGCGCTGGGTGGGATTCAGGATTCCAGCTCTGGTGGTGGTGCGCTGCCTGGGTGTGTTGTGAGTGGTTGGGAAGTGTGTTGCAAGTAATTTGTTACAAATTATGTTGAAAATAGGTTTGGGAAATGATTTTGTTGTTTAAGAGCGAATTCAAGCTTGTTCCTACAATACTGACCCTCTCAATTGCTTTCATGAAAGTATGCTTTCATGAGTAAAAGATTAGAGAGAGATTTTGCTTCCTGGGGCTGCTGTAACAAAGTGCCACAGACTGGGTAGCTTAAAGCAACAGAAATTTGTTCTCTCACAGTTTTGGAGGCTAGAAGTCCAAAATCAAGATATTGGCGGGGTCGTGACCCCTCTGAAGCCTCTAGGTTGTGGCTCGGTGAATCATGAATCCTAAATAATAAAAGCAACATCAACAGGGAGGGAGGGACTGCCAGACACTTGAGAGCGACAAGTCAATATATTCGCTTTTATGAAGACATGGATGCCCCTTGAGAAATCAGTAAAACCTTTCGGGTAGTTGAGGACATGGTCTCCCCTGACTTCCAGAGTGTCCTTTGAGAGTCCTTCATGTGGCCTTGGAGGCCTGAATCCCACAGAGCTGTTAGGTAATGACTCAAATGACCCCAGAAAACGGGGCATAGCCCCTCGTCAAGTTTTCCGGACGGGGCGTTTCCTGTACGAAGCGCTTCAATGCTAGGAGCTCCCGCTTTCAATAGTTTTTGTCCTGAATTTAATATCTAATACGGCAGAATGAATGGATTTCCCTTCTGCTTGTGCTTAGAGGAGATAGTGAACTGCATTTGAACCTCCTTAAGAAGGATGGAGGAGATTACTCAGTTTTATTTAAAATGCTCAACCAAGTTCAGTGCAGACTTCTGGTCGAGGGCTGCGGTGGGGCGGTCGTTGGCGGGCGCGGGAGCCCAGGAGCCCAGGCCTGGGTCTCTCCCAAGACCAGGCCGAGTCCTGCCTGCCACGGAAACCAGAGCACCTGCCACTGGGAACTGCGGCTCTGAGGTCCTGACCCGTTTTCTCTCGCCCGGGGCCCTTTCTCTGCCCAGACTTGACCTTGACCGCCCGGCCACTCCGGGGCGGCCCCCGCCGGCCGCCGACCGTTGAGCGTTGGTGGCCCCAGCCCGGCCCCACGATGCCGCCCCGCCCCTCGCCGGCCGCTGCCCCTGCGCCTGGGCGACCGCGCCGGTCACCGGTCCGGCCCCTCGGCCAACGGCCGCTCACAGATCACCAGCGACCTGTACATCAGCAACGGGGCGGCCGCGGGCCGGGAGCGCTCGCTGTTCAGTATCCAGATCGCCGCGACAGGCGCCGTCCGCTCCGCGGAGCCGGGGATCGCCTTGTACCAGGACATCCAGGGCGCGCAGGGGCCTGCGGCGCCCGTGCGCTCCTGCCGCCGCGCCTCGGGGACTTGTTTGGCCCCATTGCTGAACACATCCCCCGGGGGGAGATGAGGCAGGGCGGCACGCCATCGTCCCACCTTGGGGAGCACCGGCCGCCGCCCCGCAGGACGCCCCGGGGCCCCGTCGTCCAGCGACAGCGGTTGGGAGCCCATCCACTGCGAGCTCCAGGTGTTTGACAAGGCGCTCTCGGCGCGCCGGCCCTCCGAGAGGTGCGACCCCCGACGTGGATGAGGAGGAGGCCCGTCGGGGAGGCGGAGGTCCGTCTACGAGGAGTTCCGTTTGATGGGAGGCCAAGTGTGCAGTGTCCCGTCCGGCCAGCCGCTGCCGCTGCCCGCGGGGGCACAGGGGCGGGTCTGCCGTTGAGCCCACGCCGGGATCTAAACTGCAACGTTCTACTTTCGCCCACACAGAAGATCAGGGGATGTCTTCTATGAGGGCAGGTAAAAAAGGAGAGGTACCCAAGTTCTTGAGCTTGAAATCCACATATCTTTGACAAATAAAACCCACTAACTATAAGATGATGAAAATAAGTTTCCTACCCAGAGAGTGCCAGGTTGTGACTGCCAGGGCCTGGCCAGAGAGGTGGCACAGGGGGTGCCCCCTCAAATGTCCTTGGCACCAGCACTCGAGGCATGTGGCAGGCCCGAAATTCCTGCCTCACTTGCCCAGGCCGTCTACCCAGGACCGAGGGAGCCACATCCCACCTTATTCTGTGGAAGCCAAAGCCAGAGCCTTGGGCATCCTGGCACCTCCTGTATCCCTTACAGTATTGGCCAATGTCCTGGGTAAGTGGCCTTTATTAAATGGTGCTCCAGGAGCCCTTGGAGCCTCAGGGCACCTCATGCCACCATATTAAGATAGCTTGTTTTTCTTTTTGAGACAGAGTCTTGCTTTGTTGCCCCGGCTAGAGTGCCATGGCATCAGCCGAGCTCACAACAACCTCAAACTCCTGGGCTCAATTGATCCTCCTGCTGAAGCCTCCCGAGTAGCTGGGACGACAGGTTCACACCACCACACCTGGCTAATTTTTTCTATTTTTAATAAAGATGGGGTCTCACGCTTGCCCAGGCTGCTCTCGACCACCTGAGCTCAAGCGATCCTCCCACCTTGGCCTCCCAGAGTGCTAAGATTACAGTTGTGAGTCCCCGCGCCTGGCCATAAGATAGCTTTTGAAGAAAGCACTCCACTATATAACATTAAAAAAAGATTTTTGTGTGTGTGCTGTTCCAGGTGGTAAGGTCTCAAGGTGTCTGTGGCTGCCTTCCACCAGCCTTTGAGGAGGGGTGGCATTAGTCTCTTTCTCTGGGACGTGTACTAAGAGAGCAGGCCTGAAGTTAGTCCTTAGGGAGCCTCATACAGGCCTTAGCTTAGTTTCTTTTACATTCACTTGATGAAGGATATTTAGGTTGTTTTCATTTTTTGGAGATTGTGAATAAAGCTGCTATTCATATAAAAATCATATTAAAACAAAGGTAATATACAAAAGTTGGAGTTGTGGGCTGAGACCCAGCTCTGTCACCTCTGGTACCTCCACTCCATGTGACTGGGGGCCTCTCAGAGGCTCAGTTCCCTCACCTGTCAAAGCAATGACAGCCCTTCTCTTACAGGGTTGTTGTGAGGATTCAACGATCATTAGCAGTGTGCCTGGTACATGGCACAAGCTTAAAGGGCAGCTCTTGTTATTAATGATACTCTTGGGCTCTGCTGGTCCCAGAGCAGCACACTCGTCCTCATAACAGCACTTTCTCCATCTGTGCACAGCCCTTTATTGTTTACAAAGTGCTCTTCAAAAAAATACATTCTGTAGGAGTGGAAAAAAACAAAAAAACAGTTGAAAATATTTTTTTTTCAGACCTTTTGTCAGGGAGGGCTGGATTTCACAGCCTTTGAGAGTTCCCATTGTGTTTAATCCATGTGTATCCAAGGGTTGTAAAGCAGGGAACACAATGCCAGCACCCCCTCAAAATGCCTTGTTTAGAATTAATACCTTTAGAGCCAGCACCCTGGGCTGGCTAACCACCAGGATTCACAGGGACATTTGCCCAAGGGAAGAATGAGTTGGCGTCAGCAGTAGGCCCTGGAATTGGGATAGTTCACACTCCTCGAGTGCCTGTGGACACGGTTTGGGACCAGCTAGTCTAATCTGGAGGTCTGCAGACAAACAATATATTAGACAAACAAACGCACAAAGGCTCCAATTGATGCAAAGCTGTGAGTCCAGAGCCCAGTGGCGGCTGCATGCACTTTCTCTCCAAACATACCCACTTCCACAAAGGGAGTGCCCAGGGAAACAATTTGGGAGGAAAAAAAGGAATAAAATAAACACTGTTCTAGACTGATCTTCTTGTTTTACAGGTGGAAAAGCAGGCTGAGAGAGTACCGGTATGGCAGAGCCACCCAAAGCAGTTTTTCTGGCAGAAACCCAGATAAAAAATTTCTTTTAAAGTACTCTTTTAAAGAATTGTTTGAGTGTGTATGAGTGTGCATGTATTTGTATGTGCAAGCATACACATACACACATGCATACACATATGTACATGTAAGGCTATATTTATTTATTTCATTGTCAAATACCATAAGCTTAACTTTTTTTAGATATACAGCCCTATGAATTTTGACACATGTATGGTTTTATGTAACCACCACCACCATCTGAACACAGGGCCTTAGCTTGGCAGTTCCATCACCCTGAAATACTCCCTCAGGCTTCTCCTTTGTAGTCAAGCCCTCACCTCCTCCCCCACAACCTCTGACAAACACTGATCTGTTCTCTATCCCTGTGGATCTGCCTTTTCCAAGGTGTCACATAAGTGTCACAATGCACGATGTGACCTTTATACCTTTACCTGGGTATAAATCTTTGAGGTTCATCCATGTTGCTGCTTTGTTGGTGTTCCATTTTATGGACATACTACAGTTTGTTTTACATTCATCTGATGAAGCATATTTAGATTGTTTATGCTTTTTGGTAATTATGAATAAAGCTGCTATAAATATAAAAGTCATATTAAAACAAAGGTAACATATACTCAAAACTCATCACTTCCTTATTATTTACTACATTTTACCAGCATCTGTGCTCTGGAGGTTACTTACATATATTGTACGTGTATGGTAGAAATGCTGTATATTAATATAATGGTATGTTACTAAGCATTTCTTCCTCAACCCCCAGTGCAGTCCCATTGATGGTAGTGAAGCTGCCTTTTTCACAAATCAATAACAGGATGCAAGGAAAGAACTGTAGTAAGGGCCTAGCTAAATTAATACACAGGCCTACCTAAAAATAATGATAGTAATTAGTAACTATCCCCCTGCTTGCTTATCTATAATGGCCACTCCAGAGCCACGCAGCTGGTGGTCATAGAGATTCTTCTCCCCATAGCTGGTGTTCATAAAGATTCTTAACTTTCTCCATAGATGACATCACCTTTTCGAAACCTAAAGATATTTATTAAGATATCTTTCAGGTCCCGAATTCCAGTGGATGGATTGACTTACCCAATGGACCAGCGGCCCATACCAAGAAACCTACTCAGCTGGAATTGTGACCCCAGGGACTGAAACAACACAAGAAGTTGATTTCTACACCCCTATAATTTTGCCCTAATTGACAAACCCAATTGTCTAATCCCTTGCCTGTCAAACTACCCTTAAAAAAACCCCGTCTCCCAAGTTCTTGGGGAGATGGATTTGAGAAATTTCTCCCCTCATTCCACTTAGTGCTATGTGGAATAAAGACTCTCTGCTGTAATTTCTGCTGACTCAGTGTATTGGCTTCCTCTTGGGCAACGGGCATATCAGCCTGGTTGGGTGGCAACAGTTTGAAATCAACCATGATGGAAGTATTTACACCATGGAAATTGACAGGTGCTATACATTAGGGCCCACCCCCTTCCACTATAGCAGGTTATTAAACATTTCTCAGTACGCTACTGATCTTGTTAACGATGACAGTATGTACTAGAAACTTCAGAACAAAAAGCCAGTAAATGTACCTTATGACTATAGATGCCATGTATCCTGGATGTTTAATGTTAGCTATGATTTCAGTGAGCAGTTTATTAAAAATGCATAATTAAACGTGATTTACAATTTATAACTTACATATAACTGTATCTATTACTAAATTCACAAGTCAACAAAACTTTTGCCAGTCCACATAGCCTCACTTTTGTTTTTGAAAATAATGTCATTGAACCTTAGAGGATCACATAAATATTTGCAAGAGTGCAAAATTGATATTCTGTAAACACTTGTAAACCTTTTAATTGGGTCAGTTCGGGATAAAATGGCAAAGACACTCTGTGAAGCTTGGAAGTGGCCAGGCTTTTAACTTGCTGTGATCTGATGAAATATTTTAGTTTTATCTGCTCTCTTCTTTTTTCCTTGTTATGTACTGGCACCGCAGGCATTAGCTGGAAATGAGTTAAAAGGCCCCAGAACCAGTGATTCTGCAGCCACCAAGCTATTAGAATAGAATTTATTATCTGGAGGTGTTTGCATATGGATGCAGCCCTCCTACCTATTCATTTCCATTTTAACCTAAGAGGTATGTGGGAAGCTTGTTAATACCCTTAAAGAGTTTGATCCCTCTGCCTAGGTGGCTTCTGATTCAGGGATAAATACTTAAAAAATCCAGAAAAGGGAAATCATAAATAAAAGCAAATATGACACAGGAGAATTATACTTCTAAAACGTATCAGAAACTGTATCTTTAGGCAGTGCCAAAAAACAAATTCAGAGTTTGTAAGGAGAGACAATTACAACTGGGGAAGGAGGACTATTGCAATAGGCAGAAAGGAACTATTGCACTAGGAGAGTGCTATCACCATAATATCTACAAGTCTCAAAGGCTGGGCAGAAAGAGCTTTTCTTTCGTAGAGTGGAGTAAGCAAGGCTAGAAAGAACCAGATGTGGGGAGTGGCATCAGCAGGTCCTGTGATTGGACAATTGAGCAGAAAAAAATATCTCTCTTTTTTGATCAAGTGATACTCAGGAGGGGTTATTTGGGGGATTTTGTTTGTCATTCTGATGCCTATTTAAGCTTCCAATACTTGATTAAGCTCGAAGGTGGGCCAAAGTTCAGGGGCTGGGGAAAGGAGAGACTTCTCTAAAGTTTGGTCAAGTTAGTGGGTATTTTGTCCAGGTCGGTTAGTTGGGACAAACTGTTCAAACAATCATTTATAAGACAAAGAATGGGGATTTGGAAGGTCTGTGTCTGGCTTTGTCATAGGTAGACAAGGAGGTCATTGCCAAGCTGAAATAACTGAAAAAATCAGAATCCAATTTTAAGAGTTTATTCAAGCAAAAAACTGGGAATGGCCATTTGGGAGGCACAAACTCCAGACAAATGAAGCCAGTGTTCTGAAGTTAAAAGTCAAGCTGTTGCTTATATAGGCAGAAAACAAATTTAACAGGATTATGACATTTTCTATACATGGCTGGTTTATGAGTTACAATAATTTAATTAGTTAGTCTGTTATTTTTTTCCATGTGGGGTGTTTTCATTTCCTTCCCAATGTAAAAGAGTGTATTTAGCATTCCATCTTAACATTTTTAATTGTTATTTGTTTTTTTATTTTTTTGAGACAGAGTCTCACTCCGTTGCATGGGCTAGAGTGCCGTGGCATGAGTCTAGCTCACAGCAACCTCAAACTCCTGGGCGCAAGCAATCCTTCTGCCTCAGCCTCCCGAATGGCTGGGACTACAGGCATGCGCCACCATGCCTGGCTAATTTTTTCTCTATATATTTTTAGTTGGCCAATTAATTTCTTTCTATTTTTAATAGAGATGGGGTCTCACTCTTGCTCTGGCTGGTTCGAACTCCTGACCTTGAGTGATCCTCCTGCCTTGGCCTTCCAGAGTGCTAGGATTATAGGCGTGAGCCACTGCCCCCGGCCAACATTTTTTATTTTTTTGAGACAAAGTCTCACTCTGTTACCCTGGCTACAGTGCCATGGCATCAGCCTAGCTCACTGCAACCTCAAACTCCCGGGCTCAAGCGACCCTCCTGCCTCAGGCTCCCAAGTAGCTGGGAATACAGGTGCACACCACCATGCCCAGCTAAGTTTTTTCTATTTTTAGTAGAGACTAGGGTCTCGCTCTTGCTCAGGCTGGTCTTGAACTCCTGAGCTCAAGCAATCCTCCCGCTTTGGCCTCCCAGAGTGCTGGGATTACAGGTGTGAGCCACTGCACATTCCATCTTAAGACAATGTGATGGCCATGAAGTCTTTTTGTGAGAAAGGTAAGAGGGAAATTAATCTATAATGAAGGTCAACAATGAAGAGGGACAGGTCTTCTGTGGTGCCCTTCAGCCATTTATAACATTTTACAAAACAATCCAGGTGAAGAGGAAGCCTTAATCTATAACCAGAGAAACAAAGGTTATAACTTTTAGGTTATAGCTGCCTGTCACATAACTTGGGCCCCATAGGCACAGTTTTTTTTTTTTTTCAATTTTTAAAAATTCTTCCCTCTAGTCCATGTGCTGGACACTCAAAGCTCCCCCTTTGCCCCTGGCTGGAATCCTCCAATCCTGTACAAGAACTTGCATCCTAACATTTAGTTCAGAACCTCCGGTTACCCATACCTGTCTAAATTTAGGGGACACACTCCTTCGAACAAATTAGAAAGTGGTGTCACTTCTTCCAGGCGCTTGCTATTCACATGTTGGGAGACCATCACCATAACATACAACACTCAATGTCTAGGATTTTCATGTGTCTTCCAGAAAGATGCCAAACTCCTGGGCAGTGCACAACTGGGACAACTGTACTCAGCAGCCCTGGGGCTCATCTAAAGGCAAAGGGTTTGTCTTTTTTTTTTTTTTTTTTTTTTTTTAATATAGCCTCCAGGATCTCTCTAAGAATCAATTTCAGTATGCCAAAAGCAACCCTGCCTCCTTATTGGTTTCATTCTTCACGAGCTCCCTAATTAACTTAGAATAAAAGTGAAAGTCCTCAGGGCAGAGTACAAGTCCCTGCCTGGTGTGATACTTCCACAGATCTCTACAGCCTCATTACTCCCTACTGTCCCCCATGTTGGCTCAGTGCCAACTATACCATCCTTTTTGCTTTAAGACTGCCTGCCTCCGGGGTGGTACAGCTACTGTTCTCTCTCCCTGGAGGTCTTTTCTATCTAGTGGGTGGTTCCTTCTCATTTTTTACCTTGGAAAGCCTTCCCATCCGTTGTAAATCTCATCCCCCTAGGGGATGTTATTCATCTTACCCCATTTTCATTTCTCCCTAGCTCAGCATAGGGAGAAGTCCTATACTTGCCAATCTGACGGAAGAAACCATGTCATATATGCACGGGTCCAACGTGGAAATGAAGATCACAGGGCAAAGATAGGCCATGCCAAACTTTCCTGAAAGATGCTGCCTGCACAAGCTCTCTAGCCAAGTTACCCCAACTTTGGTCACTGGAGGAAGAGCTCCGGGCAGGCAACGGTTCCACCTGGGGCAGTCCTGTGGCTTGGGAGTTTGAATGAATGAGATTTTGGAGACTAAGCTCTGAGCATATTTGTGTATTCTCTCTCTTTCTCTCTGTCTCTCTGTCTCTCTCTGTCTCTGTCTCTGTCTCTCTCTCTCTCTCTCTCACACACACACACACACACACACACACACACACTAAAGTTTCTGGTCTCTTTCTGTTCTTTCTTGCTTAGAGAATTCTGGGAAAGGAAGAAGGGATGGGGGAACCTGGGTCCAGGGAATTCAAAATCCTCACTCTTTTCTGGTGGGAGGTCAAGAGTTCTCAGAGCATCCCCCATGGAGCTCCAGGAGAAGAGGCTGAGAGCAGGGGTGTTGCTTGGCAACCAGAAGAGGAAGGGTGCAAAGGGCACCTTGGCCCAGGACCACTACCCCTTGGGGAAGGATCCCTGAGGTGGGATGAGCAGCAATAGGGAGCTGTGTCAGGTCATCTGATCCCAGCCCACCCTTCCATGGGCACACAGGCCTAAGGAACGGAAGAGAGGATATGCCACTGGGAACCTCGACTGAATCTCAAGCAGCTCTCTGGGCCTCAGTTTCTCCATCTGTCAAATGGGTGTATTGAACTCTATGATAAGAGGACTGGGTTTGTTGAGGGAAAGGGGGAGGCAAACCCCCAAAGGGAAGTAGGGGCAGTGTGGGTGCCCCTGAGCCGTCCCCTCAGCCTCCAGGGTTTGGGCACCCGTGGGCACATGTGCATAGCCACATTTCTTTTAAGGCTCAAAATAATTTAGAGTTCTAACAGCTTAGATTTTGTTTTTTTAACAGCTTAGAATTTGAATTACTTATTTTCCCAACTTCCCAATGGAGAACAGAAACTTACATACCATCCTGAGGTTACAGAAAGAATAGCGGTATGAATAGGGTCAAAATAGGTTATGGGAGGGGGAGAAGGGAAAGACTGGCTAGCAAAGATGGTCTTGTTATATGAGATGAAACCTCACAGGTAGCAGCCTCAGAAAGAATAAATGGTGAAAGTTTCTTTTAGACCTTTAGTGGTGTCAGACTCTCAGTTAATCTTTCCTAGATAGAGATAAAACCTGGCCACATCAATGTAGATTTTGCCATAGATAAATATCTCTTCCTCAAAAGACAGCTTTTTAAAGCTATTCTTGTATTTCTAGCCCTTCTCATTTGATTTCTCAATTATATCAAGGAAATATATTTTGGGGTAAAATACTTTGATTTCCTTCCTGGTGATTGTGGGATTTCTTGACTATCTGTGTTTTTCAGGACCTCGGGGCCCAGGTAAAGTTTAATATA